TACCTTTTGATAAGCACAGTTCTAAATTTTAGTGAAGTCGAATTTATTAATCTGCTCATTCCTGGTTGATACTTCTCTGTCTTGTTTAAGAAAGCTTTGCCTAGCCAGGCATGGTGGTGAAGCTCTAGGATCCCAGCTACTGGCAAGGCAGAGATAGCAGGGTCATGCCAGGTAGGCCCTGGCAAAAGTGCAAGACCCTATCTGAAAAAAATGAAACTAAGAGCAAAAGAACTGGGACATGGCTCGAGCGGTAGAGCTTCAGTTCCATCCCTGGTGCTACAAAACAAAACAAAAGGAAGACAAGAAGAAACCCCCCCAAACTTTGCCTAACTCCTTCCTTTTATTGTGGTCTTGACTGTTAGTTAATTTAATAGCAAATGTCCTGTTTTGTGTGTTCTGTACTTCTGAACTGCTCCCCCTGCCCCAGTCCCCTCCAGGAAACTGTATCCATCAAAGCCTTTCCTATCCATTCGGATCCACAATCTGCCCCATGACACAGCTCTGATTACTCCATTTCTCCCACCTGTCTGTCCATAGTTTTCTGAGCCAGCTGTTCACAGCGTCGGCATTAGCACCACTTTCTGCAGTTAACTGTCGCTTCTCTGTGGCATTGCTGTTCTTGGAGGAAGGCAATCACGTGATGGTGATGATAGGGTCATAAGCAGAAAATAGAATTTGGTTTTTGTTGGCACTGAGGTTTGAACTCAGGGCCTCACACTTGCTAGGTAGATGCTCTACCATTTGAGTCACTCCACCAACCGCCGCCCCCCACCATTTTTCGTGGTGGGTTTGTTTCAAGATAGGGTCTCAAGAACTATTTGCCCTGGCTGGCCTGGAACCTTGATCCTCCTAATCTCTGCCTCCTGAGTAGCTGGGATTACAGGCATGACTGAACAACTTCATTAGAATTGTGTAAATATGCAATCAGTAAAATCTTCCAAACTTTGCACACATCCTATGCCCAGGTTTGTACTTGAAAGGTACTGAACCCACACTCTGGAAGCCTAAGGGGGGGGGAGGACGTGGGAGGGCCTTTGGGATTCCTGAGGTGAAAGGCAGAGTCAGAAGGCAGCAGACTCCATAGAGAGGGCAGCCAGACATCAGGTGACCCTGGGAACTCTAAGTCCTCAGGAAAGGAAGAGAGTGTACACTCTGCTTATCTTTCTGGAATCTGATTAAGATGGGAAGCTTCGGGCCTTCCCAGGTGGAAAGAGAAGGATGAGACATCTGGGCTGATTGGGGACCCTACCTGGGTCTCCAATCCACCCACTGTCTAGAATGGCTCTCTCTCCTTAAGCACTCAGGAGCCCTTGACCCCAGAAGCGGTCACCCCGCCTTGTCAACGGCATGAGCACAGCCACAGGCACCTCTGGAAGGAGCACAGAGGCTGCATGTTCCTAACTTCCTCCAGAATTAGGAGCACAGACAGAGAGAGTGCATAGTGCCCTGAGGGTGCTGCCTGCAAGACAGCCACTTCCAAGGCTGGCCTTTCACTGGCATGGGAACTTGGATTTGGGAAGGGTCCTGCCACCCTCTCTGGTGAGCATGGCTCACATGTCTGAAGGGTTGGCCCCAGCACTGCGGTTCCTGAGCACCTGCCCTCCTTTTGGGCGTCTGGAGTTTTGGAACATATCAGGCAGTTCCAGTAAGAAGCTGGGACCCTGAGTCTCTAGGGAGCTTCACTAGGCAGTGACACTTGTCACAGCTGCATGTTGGGGAGTAAGCACTTCCTGTGGGGCTGCACAGGAAAGATCCTGGGGAGCCGGTGCCTGTCCCTCCAGACCGCGCCCAGGCACCTTCTCCTGATGCTGACTTTGCTCAGCAGTTTTTCCTGTGATACATCCTAAGGTGAGTTCCACCCTGTGCCGAGTGCTGCTGGTCCTCCCAGCCAGTCACTGAGACTGAAGGGGTCTTGGGACCCCTAGCTCCGAGGACTATACAAATTCACACAGCTATGGGGCCCAGAGACAAGAAATGCTCTTCCAGCTCCCTCTCCTTTTTCCCCCTGGGGTTTGCTCTTGCAATGAACTTACCCCTGTCTATTTAAGGCCCCAGAATTCACTGCTAAGCTGAATAGGGGTGCCAAAATAGATTTTACCCTTGACCTCAAGAACAACTCAGTGAAATAATTCATAAAGGTTTACATCGTGCATCAAATTATGCTACCGACTTCAGGCGTCCGAGCCCCTTACAATGTGTGTCTGGGAGGGCTCTGGTGGTGAAGAGGACAGGACTGCGGTTGGAACTTATGAATGGAGTGGTGGGCTCCCAAAAGGACCTAAGGCCGAATCCACAGAACCCAGGACATTGCCAGGTGATATGGCGAAGTGGAATTAAGGTTGCTAATCGGTTGACCCTAAGATGGGGAGAGTATTTTGGATTATGGGGGTGGTGACAGTGTCATAGTAACAAGGTTCTGATTAGTGGGAGAGGAAGGTGGGAGAGGGGGAGAGGGTCTTAACTTGACATGAGAAGGACCTACCTGTTCATTGCTGGCTTTGGAATTGGATGAGGCCACCAGCCAAGGAATACAGGGGGACGGAGCCACACAGGTCAGGGAGCAGATGCTCCCCAGGATTCCTGCCTTCAGATCTCTAAGTGGTGAATGTGTTTCAGACCAGCTTGTGGCAATTTGTTTCAGCAGCCAGAGAATGAACACAGACTTGTACCCTTTCATGTGAAGAGAAGACATGTAGATGACAAATGAGCGTGTCAGGTCCCTGGCTGGGATGGAGGTGGTGAGAGTCAGAGAGGAGTCAACGCTAAGGCTGCTCACAGGAGCTGTGTGTAAGCCAGGGGGCGAGGCAGTGGGTGCTTCCTTCTGCACTGGCCTTTTCGTGCTCTCTGGGCCTAGAAAAATGTACAGCTGCTGTTCCTGGAGGGGATGAAAGGTGTGATGGCACCTCTGTCAAGACGTTTTTGGGGGCTCCCTCAAGCTTCCCTGATGGACCCCTCTCCTCAACTTAAGCCCCATGGAGGCATCTGCTCCATGGTACTGTGACCCAGTTCTGACACCCCAGGATACACCTCAGCCTCTGTCTCCTGAGGCCCCCTCCTCGCGTCCTTCCCAGGCTCTGATGGGCAGACTCTCACACTGACTCTCTCCTGAGAAGTCAACTGTGGCCCATGGGAAATGGGGCACTCATGGCACCACTTTCAGGGTGCCCTGTGGGTTTTCAGGCAGGAGCTAGTGCCTCCTCTTCAGGGACTTTGGCTTTCTCAGGACTGAATCCAGCCTGTGCTCTCAGTAAGCACGTTTCAAAGCTGTCTCAAAACCCACTAAAAAGAGCAGAACTAAGCAGAGAAGGTTGAGACTGGCCCCAGGTAGCAGAAGTCACCCTGTTGAATGCACGGGGCTTCAGGGCAGTTGTCAGGCAAGACCGTCTCCTGCCTGTCTACAGTGACACCTGCTGCCAGTAATGCAGGCTGGAGCCCTCCTGATCCAGGGTTCCCACAGCCTTCACCCCACCTTTCGCTAAGCAGAGTACTGAGGGGAAATTTGAGCACATGTCTTCGTTGCCTTGGACAGCACTGGTAGGTGACAAAATCTGTGTAAGCTTAAAGGGGTATCTGTGTGAAAAGAAAGGGTGAACACCCACAGGTGGCTGTTTTAAGAACTTCTGAGGTCCTAAGGTCTCTGCCTTCTGGAAGTGCCATCCATCATAGCAAACATATTAAAATGTTCCTATACCATCTAAATACTCTTAAAATTTTTAAGCTTTGAAAGGGTTTTCAGTTGATATTATTTGGCACTGGGGAAGACATTTACTTTGTGATTGCTTATGACTTCCTGGCGATCATGGTATCAGGAAATTCATAAACAAGTGAATTTGGACGTAGTGGTGCACATCTGCAATCCCAGCACTCGGGAGGCTGAGGCAGGAGGATTGCCAGTTAGAAGACAGCCTGGGCTACACCAGTCTCAGAAAAAGGAAAAAAAAAAAAGAAGAAAAGAAATGTTCACCAATCACAGTTATGAAGCTGGCAGGTTAGGTTTTGGGGACTTTTATTTGAACATTAGTTTGAAACTTGCCATGTGTATTTTATATTGTGAGGCAATAAAAGCTCTTTATTTGTCTCCAACATTGCCCTAAGTCCTTGGAAAGCTGTGAGGAAGGCCCTGTAAACGTTGCTATTGGGGCGGGACTGGCAGGGGCAATAAAAGTCAATTGACCCTCACTTAAGGCTTTGCCAGAGCGGAACCCGGAAAACACTTCTTTTTCCTTCTTTCTCCAAAGTCCTTCCCCTTCCAATCCCCTACTTAAAGTAACTGCCAGTCCACACCCAGGACAGGCTAGACGCTGGGGTCACAGGCCATGGGGGGGCCCTCTTCTTAAGGGGACTTACGGTTTGTGGGGAAAAGGACGTACAGGACCAATGGGGCATTCTAGCACTGACCCCTGAGGCCCTGATCCCACTAACGCTCCTCAGTGGGCAATGGCTGCAGAGCGCTTTCAGTTGACCTTTCTGCCACGCTCTGGGTCATCTGTAATGACTTTTGCTCCGCAATCGACACCAAGGCAGGTGACAGAAAATGGGCACCCCTGGGACACGTGCTTAGTGGCTCCTCGGGACAGGGGGCGCCCCATGCGGCTCCAGGGACATCGCTCTCACTCCCGAGGTGTCAGCCTGATCTGGAGGAGGGGGCCACCAGCCTTGACCTCTGCCACCACCAGCCCCTCGGGAATTCCTGGGGAACCCCCCTCCCGCGCCGCCCCCGGACCCCCGGCGCGGAAAGAGGGGCTCGGTGGCCACCGGGAAAGAGGCCGGGGACTCCAGCCGCGCGCGCGGCGGACGCCTTGGCAGCAAAGTGATTTCTCGGAAAGCCGAGCGCTTCGAAGAAGGCGGATCCGCTGGGCCACGCTGATTGGGCTGAGACCACGCCCCTCTAGCGTACCATTGGCCAGCGCGGCCTTCGCTCCGCGCATAGGACCCGCCTCCGCCCCCGCCCCGCCCTTAAAGCCGCACACACGCCGGCGCAGGAGCCAGCGGCAGGTCGCCCCGAGGCAGGGGAGCGTGGGAACGCGCGCGGCGGACGCGGAGCGCGGGCGGCAGGTAGGACGCTCGGCGGGAGGGCGCTGCGTCCCGCGTGCATGTCTCCCGGGGCGCAGCTGGATTGCTGCACCCCATCTTTTGGCCACCGTAGTCCAAACGGAACTTGCAGCTGGTTATTATTGCTTGCCTGTTCCTAAAGATTAGCTGGTGCATTAAAGCAAATCTCATTTTTTTTTCTTAAAATTTGGTTTGCATGGGAAACTTTATAATGGCGGGAAATAGCAACCCCCCCACCTTTTATTCTAAGACCTGCACCATCACCCCGCTGAAAATTTGTCACTGGGAATAACCTGGACCCTGTTTCCAAAACAGCCTCACAATCTATGGCGAGGCTTAGATTGTGAAGGGGGCAGATTGGCTTTTTTTTGTTCTGATTAGTGACAGTCAATTAAGATTTCTGAGTCGGGTTGCATTTTCCCCACTTCTCAGTCGTCCCTGGCAAGAAAGTCTAGACCAGGTCACAGCTTATAGGGGTTTTTTTTGGTGGGGGAGAAAGGGGGAAAGGGTGTAAAATCAGCCAAGGGGTGCAGAATGGACTTTCCCAGGTGACATGTGTTACCCGGAGCTGTGAAGTGCTTTAGTGATGGAAACTTGGGACTGAATGCTCCTGAATTTTAAACCCTCCCAACCTGTGCCACCTCCCCCCTACTGTTTTAAAAACCACAGAGAACTAGTGGTGAAATGAGGGCTCTAGATTTGTTCTTTGGTTAAGGCAGGTTTGCTCATGAAGACTGGGGAGAGATGGAGTCACTTGAGGAAGCTTGGGGCCAGAGAGAGAGAGAGAAAGAGATGGCTGTGATGTTCTTTGTTCTAGTACTGGCAAGGGTATTGGGCAGTCAGAGAGGTACCCCGGGCACTAAAAGGTAGGGCAGTGTGAGGCCGGTCCATGTGACCCAGGCACACCCTGGCACCCAGATCAGGTGGACCTGGGCAGCCTCTTCTCACCTCCTTCCTGGGAAGCGTGGCCCGGAACACATTTACAGGGATGCAGGTTAGCTCCCAATAGGACTTGGCTAACAGAGGGAATAATTATCTCAAAAGCAAGAAGAGGAAGTTATAAACATGTGACTGTGCTTGTTATTTTTCCCAGCTGGGCATTTCATGGATTTAATTTGCTAGTGTTCAAGAAATCACTATGACTCTTAACTGTAGTGTGTCTTAGGTGCTTAAGGCTGCTGGGAAAGGAGGGGATTGCAGAGGAAGTTTGGGAAGGGCTGTCCATGTGCTGAGAGCTCCTCACCTACCTGTTGTTTTTTGTCTGTAGAAGAAATAAAATACCTTGCTGCTCGGTGCTGGGGGTCCAGTTCAGACGCAGTCTGCTGAATGCCCTGGTGACTGCTGCCCCTCTCTGAGTCTCAGTTTCTCCTATTTTGAATGACAGGGGCTGGATTAGATGATTTCTGAAGTACTTTCCAGCCTTCATAGTCTGTGGTTCACCCTCTCTCTTTCCCTCTGTCTCTCTCTCCTTCCCTCCCTCTCTCCTTCCTTCCCTTTTTTCTATAAATCACCAAGACAGTTGTCCTTAGCAATTTCGGGGGTGATGAACCCCTCCCGCTTTCTAGAAAAAGAGCCCTACCAACAGAACATGCTTTTGATTTCAGGAGGCTCAGTGGCCACTGACTCTAGTTTAAGAATTGGTCTTGGGGGTGAGTGGAAGTGTCCCCTTTAATTGACATTTTCAGGAGCCAGCTCCTCTGTTGTGTTTTGACCTCTCAGGTCCTCCATGCAACCCAGGCCTCAAGCCAGGAGGGCCTCCTTCCTGCATCCTGGAGTGAGCTGTAGGAACTGACCCCCCCTATGTAGTTGTTTTCAGGGGGCACCTGGTGATGGTTCATTCTATCCCTTGTTCCCTTCCCAGATTGGTCCCTTCTTATTTATAAGCCCAGTGACCTTAGAATCTGGGGGCTCTTGAGCTACCTCACCCCACTTTTCTGGTGAGGGATCTCAGAGAGAGGTTCAACTGACTTCCCAATGTTTAGCCAGAGAAGAGCCCTGCTGAGGTCTATGGTTTCCAATTCCAATTCACATCTCTGCCCCTTTTAAACCTGCAAGTGGAAATTGGGTGAAAACGCTTGAGAGAACTCACCTCCCTCTCCCTGGGCACCAGCCCCACTCTTCTTCCCCCACAGCCAGCTGCAGGGCGGCCAGGTGCCTAAATGCTCACTTCTTCCAAAGGTCACTGACTCTTCTGCTGGATGTGCCAGCCTGGCTCTGGATGTGACCATATTCTTGGGGACATTGTGTCTTGTCACTGCTGATTGCTTCAAACTTGTTTGCCTGAAGAGGTCACATTTTAGTGGGAAGAATACAAATGCTACTTTTTTTTTTAATGGGTGGGCGTCTGTCCAACTGACTCGGGGATTTCCAGCGCTGTTCTTGTAAATGTTGACTGTGAGTCGCCACAGTGTGAGTGGCCTCTCTTTCCGCGTGCTGCTGGCAAGAACGTCTAAGATGCTGGTGGGGGTGCTCAGATGGTAGGGACCTAGACATGGAGCCACTGGAGGAGCCCAGTCTCCAATGGCATGGGGTCTAACCCGGCTCTATGCCATAGTCACATTCTGTCCCTCCTGTCTGCTGTCTCTCCGTTGGTCATAAGAGTTCCAGAGGCAGAAGGTAACTATGTCTGTTACTGTTACTGGTAGAGTCTTGTAAGGTGCTGGTCCTTACACTGTCACTGCAGCCCTGCCCTAGCTGATAAGGCCCCCAGCACTCAAGGTTGAATGATGCTTCAGGGTTGCCTAGAGGGAACAAACTCTGAGCTCCATCTCATTTCCAGCCTCATGTTGTTACTGCTGCACCTGGGGAAGAGCCACCCCGGTGTGTGTGTGTGTCCCCTGTGCATATGTGTATCCTTTTTCACAAGTGACAGGCACCTGTGCCATATTCTGTCTGGGATTTCTGATACCCCCCGGACCTCAGGTAGCCAGGCTGGTTCTTAGAGTGACAGGTGGCTCATAGAAGGTACCTTATCACGTAAAAGTGACTTCCCCACCGGAAGCGAAACATGTCACTTTCTATGTAGCTACATTTGTCTGCATTTGGAGGCCAGGGGAAAGCTGGAAGTCACAGCCTGACTGTGGGTGGGGCCACACCTGGCAGCCTGGTGGTGGCAGGTCTCTAGGGCCTTTCAGTTTTCATTAGGGTTTGGGGTGCAGAGACAAGTACTGTCTTCACCTGGCAGGTGGCCCAGATTCCCTGGGTCTGGGGGATTCCCCCAAGCCAGCGCCTTTGCTGTGAACCTGCCCCGTTCCTGCTTCGCAGGGTTGCTCTGACTCACGCAGTGACATTTGTCTTGTCGTATCGTAGGATTTGTTTTCTTCCTTCCAAGGATGTGCGACCGGAATGGTGGACGGCGGCTTCGACAGTGGCTGATTGAGCAAATTGACAGCAGCATGTATCCAGGGCTGATTTGGGAAAATGATGAGAAGAGCATGTTCCGGATCCCCTGGAAGCACGCGGGCAAACAGGATTATAACCAGGAGATAGACGCCTCCATTTTCAAGGTGAAAATCCAGTGTAGACAGAGCCTCTCTTGTTTTCCCTCCGGGATGTGGAGGTGTCCAGTGATGTCTTTCTGACTTACTCAAAAATGAGTCCAGTGTTTTAAAACAAATGTGGAGTCCCAAAAGTCTCAGAAGCGTATGTTAGGTACCATTTAATAGTTAGGAGCTATTGAATAATCCCTTTGGGGGTTGGGGTATCTGGCACTTCCCCTGTCTACTCTGCCTTTTTCTCTCCTCACACGTCCTCTGTCTGCAGGTGATGTGGTGTACCGGGGAAGGCTTCAGTCTTCCTTTTCTCAAAGCTGCGACTTCTGCCTGGCATTGTAAGTTCACCTAGAATTTACAATGAAATGCATCTCTCATCGCTCGGGGCCAAGGCACATGGAATGTCCTGAAACTGTAGCCGGTGTCACAAAATAGTCTCTTTCCCCTTGAGGAGTGATAAATATGCCACCCATGGTGAGCCCGGCCCTTCACTTCTACCACTGACCTCACAATGGCCGGCATGGATTGAGAGTTGGCTCCAGTCTAGGCCTGGCCACACTTATTATTCTGTTTTCCTCTCACACTCTCCTGTGTGGCAGGTGTCCTCCCAGTCCTCATTCAGTAGGAGCACCGAGAGGAGAAATAACTTGTCCCAGCATTCAGACATAGGTGGCCCAGCCGTGAGCCTGTGCTTGTAAGCTCTCTATGTACTGATAAGCAGTCATGTCTTGCCTTCCACACAGAACAACCAGGAACCAGGGCAGCCCAGCACTGTAGGCCAGCTGGGTGGCCGAGTCCCTTGTGGGCATCTCTAAGGTTCCAGATGTCTCGGTTCCACCCCTGGGAGATTCAGAGCCCTAAGTCAAGGTCAGCCTACACTTCTACTTTGTGAGCAGAGCCCAGGTTTCATACCCCTGCATTTTGCTTGTTCTGTGCACACTGGGGAGTCAGGGGTGGGGAGGGCCATGAGCGTATGGAAGGGGTGTGAGAGAGGATGAAACTGATCCGAGACTATGATCAAGTTGGGGTTCAAAACCTGTAGGACACTTTTATACTGCTGACTGTCAGCACAGAAAACAGTCTTCTGACACAAGTGAGTGAAAGTGACAAACAATCCCAGAGTGGAGCATAAAAAAGGTCAAGTTTGGCTTAAGATGCATTCAGGTCTCTGCCTGACCCGTGTTTGCAGTGGGGCTATGCATATTAGGAATTCTGCTAACTCTGGACTTGGGGTTGCAGATCTCTGAGAGTCTGAAGTCAGTTACTGACCACTCCAAACAAGATAAGCATCACCTGCGAGGGGTCCCCTACCACTCCACTCTCATGGTCTCCAGATTCCTTTCCATCAGTGACTCGGGTTGGGAAGCCTGGGCACCCACAAAGTTTGCAAAGCCAGCTACTTTCTTGTTCTCAGTGCTGTTGTGGGGTTCTCTATTGCCTGTAGATGTTTTTTGGTATCATGGTGAAGGTCTCTTCAGAATGATGGTTTATGCGCCATCCAGTCTGCTGGGAATTCTAGATTTTACTGAGCTGTGGGCCAGGACTCAGCCTTTACTGTGGAATGTAGGTCTGGGTGCTTCGTGTTCTGTCCTGTGCCATGTAGGCTGTTCTACGGTATTACTGGCCTGTACCCACTAGGTGACTGTAGCATCCCCTCCCCTGTGTGACAACTAAAAATGTCTCAGACCTCCCTGGGGAGCACACGCCTCCCTCCCCATGGAGAAGCCCCCTTTGAGCTGAATATGACCAGGATTGACATCGAACCCAAGGTACAGGGTGCTGAGTGCTCAGTTGTCAGTGGACCATCAGTGGACCGGTTTCCGGAGAGCTGTCGAGTGACAGCAGGGGTTGCTGGTCCTGGGGCTGTGGCTCATGGAGGTGAGCTGGGCTGAGCTGAGGCCCAGGCTTCTTCCTGCTGCTGCCTGCTGCTCCAGGAGTAAGGAAATAAAGCCAGATTTATGCATCTTATGCAATGCTCTTCACGGCTGTTTCAACAGCCTTGAGAAAAATGTGCAAGATTCCCGATGTTTCCGTTGGTTACGCAGTCACTTGATGTGGCAATGTGAAATGAGTCTACAATCTCAGCAGGAATGGGGGCGACTGGGACACAGGGTGCCCACCTGGGGCAGGAGACCAGTTGGGGGGTGATGGAGAGTTAGGGAGACCGCATAGGCAGGAAGCCATCTGGTGATTTTTCTGAGCTGTGCCCAGTGGAGTACTTGCTTGTCCATGGTCCCTGGGAGGCACATATCTACCATGGCCATTAAAGGGACCTTTGCTGTTGGAAGAAGTCAACAGCGAGACCGTGGTCAGAAAGAGCTGTGTTCTATAGCATTTTCCTGTTAAGTAGAAAAACTGCTTTTCTTCAAGAAAGCCTTTCCAAAGTGAAGGAGTTAAGAAAAAAAATAAGCACTGGCTTTCCTACCCCAGGAAGTGGGTCCTAAGAGCTACTTATGTCACAGAGTCCTTCGTTGCCTGCCTGTGTCATCTGAGGCATCTTGTGTGACCACAAATGGGAGACTGAGAAAGACTTTTAGCTCATGTCGTACCAACCCCCAGCCTATGGAGGGAGCCCTGATATCAACTTACATCTACTTTTATTTATTTTATAAATTTACTAGCCCTAATATAAATTCTTTTTTTGCATAGTTGCTAAGTCTTAATTGCACTTTTCTTTTCGGTATTACTGGGGTTTGAACTCAGGCCTTGCACTTGCTAAGCAGGTACTCTGTTTGAGCCACGCCACCAGCCCTCATATCTATTTTTCAAAAGGCATTTTGCCTCCTTTTCCTGAAGACACAAAGGCAGACTTGTTCAGGGAGGGCTAAGATTCTCTGGGCTCTTTCTTGGTGACATTGTCATAGGCTTAGCTAGTTGGAGCTTACTCAGTGCCACAGGTGTTTTGAATTCAGTGGGCCTTGGAGGGAAACACAGGAGCTGATTTTTATTTTATTTGCTTACTTTTTGTAGTTCTACCTGTGTTTGGCTTACCGTTGAGCCCAGGTTTTTAAAAGCAACAGGAGACAGAGGAGTTAGAGGAGTGCTTCATGCTGGCGACTGACAGTGTAAGGCTGTGGTCCAAAGAGGTGGCTTAGGAGCTCCTGCTGTGGACCTTGGGATCACCAGTGCTGGCCAGAAAGGCCCAGAGAAGCCAGGTTTCTGCCAAGGGCTCAGGCAGGCTGCACACTGGTACCGGATGGTGGCCTCGGATGCTTCCTGATCATGGGGCCTAATTTGATGGATGGAGCATCTGTCTTCCTCATGGGGCGAGTGTGATTGCAGAAAGGATCAGTGAACATGGCTGAGTCCCACAGGTGCCGTCACTCTGGCATGAACCAGCTAACTGTAACACTGCTACAGAATCCATGCTTTCAAGGTCCAGTTGGATTTGGGGTTGACCCAGTGGTTTCAGAGTGGGGGACACTTGGTCATGTCTGTAGACAGTTTTGATTGTAACCAGCAGGGCAGGGTTGTATATAAATACAGCAAGATACAAGTCAGCACAGGGTTGTCAGTGCAGTTAACTAAACGATAGATTTTCGAAGCTCATGTGCTTAAAAAAAAATGTTTGCAAAGGGGAGTTTGTGTGAGAGGGGAAATGGTCACTTGTGCTCACTGATAGGAATATTCTTCCAGTTTCTTTTCCCCTAGCATAGCTTTGGAATTTGGCATCAACAGAGTAGAGAGCTTTGACCTTGAACTATAAACTTTCTTGGCTTTTCTGAGAGGGCAAAGGAGGCAGGCTCTTTTAAAGGAGCTGTGACTTGGGGCTGTGGAGTTTCTGGACATGTGGCATCCTGCTCACCTAGCTCAGAATCACTGTCTATAGACCTAAGAGGCACCTGTCTGAGGCAGATCTTGGGGACAGGGTCCGGGAATCTGTGTGGCACAAGCTGTGGGGGATGGTGTGGGGTGGTGTGTGTGTCCAGCTGGGCTGGAGGTCCCTGAGCTGCAGGTAAGAGCGTCTGGCATCAGTCCAGACTGGTCATGGCGATAGGGACTTTCCTCCTGGGTCGCATTCTCCTGAATTGGGGGGAGAATTCCCTTGGGTCTGCTACTATTTTAGATTGGAAGACATGGTCTGATTTTGCCTAAAGTGGAAGGTAATTTTACCCTGACGGTGGTTACCACCTATTCATCCGTGAGTCTCTTCTCCAAATTCTGAATCTTAAGATACGTTGATTCACATGTGTAATTTAAAAAATACTATTCTTTAATTCCGGTTTTGGATTTCTGATCCTAGTTAAGATCCTGAGGGTCAGAAGACAGAGCTATTAAAAAGAAAGACAGCCAACAGAGGGAAAACAGTTCTTTGTATTTTAAATAGCACCTTGGGGGAGGGGGAGAAAGGCAGAATTATGCAAAAATGCAAAACACAATATCTTTTTAAAAGGAGCAGGCTGTGGATGACCACATTTAGACTTTTTTTTTTCAAACGTTCCCCTTTCATGCTAAGTTTTACCTAGGGGATGATTTGAAAAAGCCAGTCTTTGTTTTGAACATGCTAATGAAACCATGTGTAACTTCCTCTTTGAGCTGCCTGGCCTCAGGCCTCCCTGCCCTTCAGCCCAGGGAAGGACTTTGCTAATGGTGTAGTCAAGGGGCTGTGTGGGAGGAGCCTTGGGCCTGGGTTCCAATTCTGGCTCAGCTGAGTGCTCTGGGGGACCCCTGCTCTGGCCTGGGTCTGATCACATACGTTAGAGAAAATAGTCTGCCTGAGGTCCCTTGAATCCTGACCTTGAACGAGAGTGGACTGTCCACAGAGGTTCAGGGCAGGAGCTGTGCAGCTCCTATGACCTGGTGGAGACTGGTTGTGTTCAGTGTGCTTCTCTTTCTTCCCTCAGGCCTGGGCAGTCTTTAAAGGGAAGTTTAAAGAAGGGGACAAAGCCGAACCGGCCACTTGGAAGACGAGGTTACGCTGTGCTTTGAACAAGAGCCCAGATTTTGAGGAAGTGACTGACCGATCCCAGCTGGACATTTCTGAGCCGTATAAAGTTTACCGAATTGTCCCCGAGGAAGAGCAGAAATGTAACTATGTGTGATGGGCACCAAGTCTTCCACAAGCTGTCCCCCTCTCCCCTCCCCCTCCCCTGCATTCCTGGAGAGAAGTGTGGTCTCCAGAGGGCTCCGGTTGGGGCAGATGTGCTGCCACAGGGTCTGGGGTGCATGGTTTTAGCTAAACAAAGCTGTTCCCTCCTTCATGTAAGCAGATATGAGGTCTCCTTCCACTGACCTCACGCCATCTGCTGTCAAGTGGTGGCTTCCAGTTGAGGGAGGGGCTGTGTGGGGGCAGGGAAGGGCCCAAGGGACACGTGGCAGAGCCTCCCTGCAGCTCAGTGTGAGTCCTGTAGACAGGAACATGGCCTGGGGCAGTTTCTGATGAATTTCTTTTGTTTTCTAGCAACTTGTAGAGGGGGCTAGGAGACCCAGGGCTGGGTCCTAGGGCTGAGAGAAAAGGTGTCCAGGCAGAAGAGGGCACTGTTGGCTGCATGCGGGGGGATGGGTATGTTGTTAGGTCCTGACTGTTGTTTGGGAACTCAGGGATGTGAACATCCCTGAGGCCTCCTCCAGCTCTGAAATCCCAAAAGGACCTCTGAAGGGATCAAAGCTGAGCTAGCAAAACCCTGCTTCATGTCCCTGGTCAGACATCACTAATCAATTGGGCCTCAGAACCCTATCCAGAGTAGTGTGCTGTGCAGGTGCCATGGGCCAGAGCTGCTCTTGAGACAAAAGCAAATCACCACTGGTGCTTTAAAACATTCTGTTTTTTGAGATGGGATTTTGCTGTGTAGGCCAGGCTGTTCCTTGAATTCATGATCCTTCTGCTTTAGCCTCCTGAGTACTGGGATTACAGGAGTGTACCACCATGCCTGGCTAAAATATTCTTCGAAGACATTGATTTTCTCGGCCATTCCATGTAGCAATTAGAATTTGGCAAGTCATAATTTCACCTTTGAAACTGACTGTAGTCCAGTGATGCCTAAAGCCTTAGAAAAACTTCGCAAGGCTATGCAAAAATTCTGAGTTTGCACTCACTGCCCTGTGGGGGTGTTAGAATGTCGACATATAATTTAAAAAAGCTAAAATCATGAGTCAAAGATACAGTGAACGAGGGGACTGACATGATGACAAAGGTTGTTAGAGACTGCAAGACACTGATACATTTGATCAGTGAGAGGGAGGAAGCTTTAGTGGTGCATCTCTGTAATCCTGGCACTGTGGAGGCTGAGGCAGGAGGATTGAGAGTTCTATGAGCTTCGTAGTAAGACCCTGTCTCAAAAATAACAGCAATAAATAAGTAAATCTAAGTAAAATAAAAAGAGAGCCAACCAATAAATGTCTGATCAGGACAGTACAACTGTAGTTTGGGGTGTTATCTTTTCCCCTGGTTCCCTGCAGGCGACCTAACTCACTGAATCTGACCCCTGGTCTATAATAATAGCAAGTCCAGCCCCGTGCCTCCCCGTGGAGAACCCGATGGCCCTTAGGGTGGCTCTGAAAGGCCTGGCAGCTACAATTCTAGTTCGTTTCCCCGTTTTGGATACTTTTCATCAGTTTTGGATAATTTTCATCAGTGTGAAATCACTTGTGATTTGAAGCAATAGGGAAGTTTCTTTTGACGCTGACACCCTCCCCCTCCACCCTCCGCTTCCCCAGGACCAGCCAAGCTTGGCCTGACAGGTGACTCTGACTTGTTTATAGCACGGGGTGCGGCTGGTGTTACCTGCAAGTAGGGGGGTTAAGGGAGAAGTGACAGGTCCTCAGGACCAAAGAAACGCCTCATTTGCATAATGTCCAAATGGGCCCACTCTCCTCTGCACTCCAGAGACTTGCGAGTTGCAAGGGGGCGCCTCCCCCCATCGCCACTCCCCCTATCATCAGTGGGTCCTGGGACCCTGGAGTCCCACAGGTGTCGGTGGGTAACCATCCATCTCACACTGGTGTCCCTCAGAGGGCAGGTTTCTGACCAGGGAAAGGCACAGGTGGGCAGACCTGAGGCTGGCCCAGCATGCCAGCTGTGCAAACGCTGTGCTCTTTTGGGCTGTTGCTAACTGAGGCTGGTCTAATGGGGTGCCAGTGTGTCTTCATGGTGCGGGGGTGTGCGCAGACACATGGATGTATATTTGGAAAGGCCAGAAAGAGATTTCCTGCCAACTGGCTTTTAAAAAAGTCCCAGTGTGTCAACAAATTTTGCCAGGAAACTTCTGGGTGCTTTCAAGTGCCACGGCTTGTAAATTTAACTTCTGTAGGGTGGGCAGTGAAGTATGTCTGACAGCACTTATTGTGGACCTCCGTGTATGGAGGGAAGAGACCAACATGCCACCTTCATCCTTTAAAAGTGTCGTGTTTACAGCCCCGCCACCAACTTCTCTCTTTTAACTTTGCTGACCAGAGGACTGAAGCATGGGAAAAAGAGTCTGTGTCTTTCTCAAACTTCAGGCAGCTGCTGATTAAACCCAATGTGGACACTCACCAGCTCTAATTTCCTTAAGTCAGCATTTAAAAAAAAAAACTGACCCTGGCCCCAGCGGTGGTGGTGCCATGGGTCATGGTGTCTGTCCTGTTTTCTGTAGGCAAACTAGGTATGGCACCTCCCGGCTGTGTGAGCGAAGTCACAGAGATGGAGTGCGGCCGCTCCGACATCGAGGAGCTGATTAAGGAGGTAGGTGGAGGCAGTGGGCCCTGGGGTCTCCAGGCCAGCAGTGGCCTCGTGCCTTCTGGTCAGGAGAGGCATGGTTCCTGCCCTGCGAAGGCATCAGTAGTCTCAGACTCTCCGGGATGTGGTACTCCCACCTGCACAGGTGGATGAGGGGCTCCCTGGTTTTCTCTCCAGGCTGGCCTCCTGTGCTGGCCGGCTTCTGACATGTGTCATGTCCTTCCTTCAACCAGAGGGCCGGCCTGAGCTGTCGCTCTGGAGTTTTGTCAAGCTCCAAACATGTCCTGCTTAAGCATTCTGAGTGACAGTCTTCTAAAACCCATTGTGTGGCCCTGTCCCTTCTAGGCCGGTTGCAGGGACCAAAGTGTGAGCTGTCCCTTCTGCTCAGGGTTGTTCTTATGATGTGACCTGGTGCACTAGCCTTCATGGACACTAGACTGCTTATTTTTGTTTTTATTCCTTTTTGGCAGTACCGGGATTTGAATTCATGGCGTTGTGCTTGCTAGGCAAATTCTACCATTTGAGCCGTGCCTGTACCTTTTTCTTTTTTTCTTTTTTGTTAGTTATTTCTTGGGTAGGGTCTCTGTTTTTGCCCGGGACTGGCCTGAGACCATGATCCTCCTACCTTCAGTCTCCCGTGTAGCTGGGACCACAGGTGTACACTACCATGCCTGGGTAACTGATTATGATGGGGCCTCACTCACTTTTTGCCTGGGCTAGCCTCAAATGGAGATCTTCCCAATTACAGGCATGAGCCACTGTGCCTGACTGTACTGCTTACGTTTTACATCCCTAATGTGTTGGCTAATTAGATAAACAAACCTCTTAGCATTGCACATAAACCCATAGTTAGTGGGGTGGAAGGGACGGCCTGATGGCTGTCCTTAAGTAAAATACGTGGCTTTTTGTATGGCTGGTTGTCATCTGGAGGTCCTTTTCTTCTCTCTTTGCTGTATTTTTTATGGCTATCACGAGGTGGATTTCACATAACTAAAATAACACCATTGGCCCTTGAAAAAGGCGAGGGCACCACAGGCGTGGCTCAAGTGGTAGAGTGCCTGCCTAGCAAGCGCAAGGCCCTGAGTTCAAATCCCAGAAGAGTCATTTTTACTAGTAGCAGTGTCCCTGGGACCTGCAGGAGCAGCATGGCTTCTGAGAATGAGGAAAGGGAAGACCCACCTGCTCCAAGCTGCCCAGCTTTTCTGCACATGGCAGCTGGGATGTTTCTGGGTGGTCTTTGGCAGTGAACCAAGTGACTTCTGGGCTCTGTTCCTCAAGCGAAGTCTTGTGTTCCATATAAGGCTTTTCTGCCAACTCAGCTGAGAGAGTAAGACAGCTACATTGCCACACCAGGGTCACAAGAAACGCAGATTTCAAAATGTCTCTTAACTGGACTTACCAGCCATTGTAAGGAATGGGTCAGAGGTCATGGTTGTCTGCGGCCCACTGAGCAGGGCTGTGAAAGCAGAACAGGTTTTGTTCAGTGTCACCATTCACTGGTGGCCCAGAGCTGGCCTTTGTCAGGGTGACTGACGACCTGGGGCTTTTGCCTTGTGATGGACACTCCCACCTAAATGACCCATAAACTTGGCCAAAAGAGGCCAAGGATTTGGCCATGTGTTTCAGTTGCTAGCCTGATGGCTTCAGTCTAGGGTCTTCCATGTTGCAAAGTGAAGCTTAACTTTGGTGTCATGGGATAAAGGTGACGATGGGACTTTAGTTGTTTATAAGTCATTCAGTTTTATAAACACTCGAATCCCATGCTGGAGGTTTGGAGACTGACCTCCCCTGCTCTCTTGCCTGGCTGTGCAGCCTCCTGTGGACGAGTACATGGGGATGATCAAGAGGAGCCCCTCTCCTCCTGAGGCCTGCAGGAGCCAGTTCCCCCCAGAATGGTGGGTGCAGCAGCCTGGCACAGGTGAGGCTGGGACCCTGGGCACCTCTGGCCATTCAAGTGGCTTGAGTATGGTATCCTTTCATGTCTGCCCTACACCAGCTGGGGACAGGGTGGGGTGGCTGATACTGTTAGGATCCATGTTCTGTTGGAGGTAACTAAGCCCAGAGAGGTGACAAAACACTGCTAGGCTTCTAACCACAAGAGTCCAGCTGAGCCCCAGGAAGGCACAAGTGTCTTTGTCCATACATGACATCCATGGCTGCTCTCTTTCCACACTCTCCAGAAAGCACTGGGGAGGGGTCTGGTGACATCCCCAAGATCAGAGAGAGGTCACAGCTCTCAGCCATGCTAGGTCACCTCCCTGGGCTCTCCAGTAGTTCTGGTAGTCTGTTCTGACCTTAAGGACCTCCAGATCAAAGGTATCAGTGCTTCTGCAGGGGAGCAGAGAGTCCAGGTCAAGAGTGGGAAGTTGCATGTTTCTTACCCAGCCCCAGTTTATTCATCTGTAAGATGGGGACACCAGCACCTGCCCAGGGCAGTGGGGGTGGGGTGAGGGGTGGTCACAAGGATGAGTGAGGCTTTCACCCTTTTATTGGCATCTGATACACACTGAGAGCCCTCAGCTGCTTCAGCTGCTGCATGGGGGAAGGGGACCTGGGTCCTGCAGCCACAAGCCCCTTTCTGCTTCCTTTGCCTCTTTCCCACCATGGCCATTGCAAATGGCCTTGCAGGCCTCTGAGGCGTCCAGGCTGTGTGTGGCAGTGTGGAGCTCAAGGACCTGAGAGGAGCCCCACCCTGTACTGGAGGAAGGCTGGCGGTATCCTGGGAACACACCCAGGATCAGCATTCGGGGACAGGTCCTCAGGGAGGGAAGGAAATGTGACCCCACAGGGTCACTGGCACATGGTCAAAGTTCCACAGCATAGAGGAAGCCCCCCCTGCATTCTGGCTTGCATTTTTGAGACAATGGGTGAGGCGCTGGAGGGGAAAACACCGAGTTCAGCAGAAGCAGCGGCTGGGTGTGTGTGACCTCCTTGGACTGCATCTGGGTCAGCTCCCTGCACGCAACACCGGGCCCATCAGAATTTTCTCTTCTTTCCCCTTGCAGGCCTGTCGCTGGTGACTGGATACCCCGCCTATGACACCCACCATTCAGGTACAGTGGGTGCTTTGGACGGGCACAGGCTGTCTCAGATCCTGATGATTCATGTGGGGTTGTAAGGTCCTGGTGATAAGCATGGCTCAGGGTAGAGGTTGAGGACATGCTTCCTCCTTCTGCATCTGGTTTGGGAGCCTGTCTTTCCCGAGTCTCTGTTTGAGTGGGCCAGCAGGTGAGTTTGAGGCTCTTGCAACTGGAGGCTGTGCAGGATAGTGAGGACCGCCCTGCCCCAGGCCCAGCCTACCCCACTGCTGGGGCTCCAGGTGGAGCCATGGAACCTCTCAGGGCCTCAGGCTCTGCATCTGTAAGATGGGAGCAAGGACAACTCCTGCCTCCCGGGGGCTTGTGAGAATTTTATGTACTGCACCACCACCGCAGCTCTTAGTGGTCAGTGTCACTCACGCCAGTGTCCTTCACGTCCTCCGACACCCAGGCTCATAGTGAGAGTAATGATGATGGTTTGGTGATGCCAAGGGTGATATTGGGTGTGGCTGACATTTATTAAGAGCCACCAGGTGCCAGGGTCAAGGCTGGGCCTCCCGTGGCCTCCTGTTTACCTCCCCTTCCACCTCTAGGTTATGGAAGTGGGTTGTTTCTCACCCCAAATGTTCAGGAGCCCCACAATGTGCAGTTTTTAGGTCACAGAGCAGGGATCTGCTGCAGGTGTCCTGTCCACACTTCTGCCTCCATGGACAGGGTGGCCCCACAGCTACCTTGTCTGCTGATATGGAGTACTCAGGACCTTCACAGGGCCGGGGCAGTGGTCACCATTAAGAAACTTATAAAGAAACCATGCACTGTTCATCCTGCACTTGTCACCTGTGCCACCCTGTGATCCAGGGCTGGTTCTAACTCTGTTCTTACAGACAGGGACACTGGGCTCATCTGGCTCTAAGACTGTACTGGAGGCCTCCTTACGTTGGCAGTGCCACACTCACGGGGGGCCCTGGTCATTGGGTTGAGCTTCTGAGCTTGGCCTGGTCAGCCCTAGGCTGTGTGGCCTCCAGGCGTTTGCTGACCGGTGCTTTCTGGGTACTGCAGAGTGGCTGGGCTGAGTGTGACAGAACTGCTTTGGAGTGTGGGGAACATGGCCCCTGCCGAGTGTGGACAACCTGAAATGTTTTCTAGAAACTCTCACACACCCCTCTTTGTAGAAGCTGAGGTCAGGGGTCCCAGTTTGTGACTTTGCAGGGATGAGGTGATACAGTGAGTGAACTGCATGGTGAAGGAAGCAGGTAAAGTGACAAGCCCTGGCCTAAGGCCTGCCTGCTATGACTGTGCCCTGGGTTCACACAGCAAGCCAGGCCCAATTTCCCCAGTTCCAGAGAAAGCAGAGCCCTGGCTTTTTATGTGAAATCTCTCCACACAGTGTGGGCAACAAGCCCGCCTCCCTGCTGAGATCTGCCCGTGAATATCAGCAGGGAATGCAGAGGACCACGAGGCTTTAAGCTGATGGTGTGGTCTGGTGCTTAAGAGGGAGGCTTGATGGTGGGGCCTCCCCCCTTGCACTTAGCAGCTCTGCTGGCAGCATGAGGGCATCACCTGTCCTCATGTCAGCTCCTCACCTGAGAAATGCTTGTAGTAATTGGTTATCTATTGTGTCGGGTTCACCTAAGCACTGGGCATGGCGTCTGTAGTCCCCGTAGACCAGGGACTGTGGTTCTTAGCTTCAGGAGCCTCGTCTACACAGACCACCTTCTGTTCTGTTACCTGGCTTACTTAATAACCATTTACATGGTGCTCAGACACACCACACACAAAGCAAGCCCACGTGATCCTCCAGCAGCCCCACCAGGTAGGCACTGTTGCCATCCCTATCTTGCTGCTGAAAGGCAGGCACAGAGATGTGAGGCCACTTTCCCCAGGTCACACAGCAGTGCTGGAATCTGCATGGGACCCAGGCTCTGGAGTCTGTGCTGCAAGGCATCCTACAGGGCTGGTCTGTCCTTGGAGGAGTGAAGCTGGGGCTCTTAGAATTGCCTGGTGTTTATCAGGGAGCCTGCTTCTCCTGCTTGTCACCTGTGAGGTGCTGCAGGTTGTCCCCCAAATCCCTTCCACTTGTGCCTTCCCTACAGCGCAGGGTCATTGAGGCCGCCCTGCATGGGCATCTGGGGACACCACCCGTTCACACGGCTGAGAGGCGCTGGTACTGAGATAAGGCCCTGGGGAACAATGGCACAAAGGGCACTGTGGTAGGAGTCACCAGACGTTTCCTTCATTGGGAACAAAGTCTGAAAATCGTTCCAGGTGAAGGAAGGGAGTGTGTGGACTTGTCAGGTGTTATAGACAGGGCACACCTGGCCTGGTAGGGAGGATGGTGAGGAAGGGATTTAGAAACTGGTACTGCTGCTAACCTTCGGGCCTCAGTTTCCCCAGATGTCAAGAAGACGAGTCAGCCTAATGCAGCTGTGACTCCACTCAGCGTGATTATAGAGCCCCGTGTGTGTAACTCTGACGAGGGGAGGATGGTGCCTGTGAGCGGGGTGAGGTCTTATTGACTAAGCGGAGCCCTGGGGGAGAGTCCAGGTGCACAGCGGCTTAAGCCCAGGTGGTGCACTGCACAACTCCCTGGGGTTACATGGAGTCAGGCTACTCACAACCTGTGTGTGTAGCTGCAGGAGGGCTGCCCTGGACTGGTCTGTAGTACCTGGAAGGAGCTCCAGGCTCACTGGGCTTGTCGTTAGTGGAGAATTCTTCTGGGATTATATGTGTGGGCCACCACACCTGGCTTAATTTTTAATTCAAAGATGAAATGGCTGAATAGTATCTCATTGTGTAGGTGTCCATTTATGACTCGATGAGCATTTTAGGTTGGAAAGATCAGGTACAATCTTCCCTGGAACTTCTAGGACACAAGAAGTAAGGTGCCCTTTGTGTGGGAGGGACAATGACTCTGGGCCTTTGGCTTTGGCCAGGATAAAGTGGGGAGTGTCCCCAACCCCCCCAGCTCCCTGACCACCCTGCCCTCTCTTGTTCTCTGCAGCCTTCTCCCAGATGGTGATCAGCTTCTATTATGGGGGCAAGCTGGTGGGCCAGACCACCACCACCTGCCCTGAGGGCTGCCGCCTGTCCCCGAGCCAGCCAGGGCTGCCCAAGCTGTACGGGCCCGAGGGCCTGGAGCTGGTGCGCTTCCCTCTGGCGGACACCATCGCCAGCGAGAGGCAGAGGCAGGTGACACGGAAGCTGTTTGGGCACCTGGAGCGCGGCGTGCTGCTACACAGCAGCCGGCAGGGCGTGTACGTCAAGCGACTGTGCCAAGGTCGCGTGTTCTGCAGCGGCAACGCTGTGGTGTGCAAAAGCCGACCTAACAAGCTGGAGCGTGATGAGGTGGTACAGGTCTTCGATACCAGCCAGTTCTTCCGAGGTCAGTACGCCCACCCTAGAGACCAAATTGTCCCCTGGGCCGCCTGCAGCTGAGTCCAGGGATGGCCCTGCGTTCTTGCTGGGGGACTGGGCTCCTTTGACTCTTGCTGTGCACTGTCTCTCTGAGCAACCTGGGCAGCCTCTGCCTCAGCTTCCCATGTGTAGACAGAACAGAATGAGCACCTCTGGGCTGGAATCTGGAACTCAGCACCCATCACGGTTGCTCCAGGGACTGGGCCCCTGCCTGGAAGCTGGTCAGAGCTGGTGCAGGGTGTCAGGCCCCACTCAGCATATGGATCTCAGCAAGATCCCTGGGGATGCGTGTGCATGTTTGTGACACACTGACGCCGCACACGCTAAGTGCACGCTCTTGGTGCTGTAGTTGTGTAGGTGGCTTTCCCAGATCTGCGAGGCAGGTGTTTGGGTCCCACTGCTTCTCCTGAGTGCATTCAGCATCTTCCAGCCCGCCTGCTGTGTGCCAGCTCCCTCTCTGTGCCTGCAGCCCATTCTGCTCCTCGCCCTGTACCAGCCAGGCCCAGAGCTGGTGTCAGGTCTCTGCTGCACGCAGAGGAGGCCCCGGGAGGGTGGGTGGACGGGCTGTGTGAACTCAGGTGTGTCAGTGCTGCTGGGAGTCCACCTGATGGAGCCTTGAGACCCAGTGTGCAGCCCTGAGCGCATGCCGGCAGCATTGTGGGGCTGGCTGCAGCCCTGACTTCCAGCCAACCCAGACCGGCTCATTCCGTGGATCTGAGGGGTTCTCACCAGCTCCAGGTGAGGCTGTGCCACTGGCCTGGGGTCTCTGCCTTGAGTGTCTGTCAGATACTGAAGGTGAACTGCAGCCCCTGACTGTCTTAGGTAGGGTTTGCAAACTCAGGCACTGTCAGGGCAGGCAAGTGACACGAATGCAGGATGTCCAAGGGAGACGCAGGAAGTGGAAACAGTGGCTGAGTCCTCAGAAAGGCTTTTAAAATCCAGGTGATAAAAACCAACAGCTGCCAGGCATGGGGTTCACACTTGTAATCCCAGCACTCAGGAGGCAGAGCCTGGAGGATTATGAGTTTGAGACCATCTTGGGCTACATAGCAACATCCAGTTTCAGAAAACAAACAAGCAAAAATCCAAATCTTTCCTCAAACAACACTTGGGAAAGTTCAAACCCACAGGTCCCTGCGTGGAAAGACCCCTGGTGCTTTGGTCTTCCCTTGTCGAGCTTCCTGTGCTGCAAGAAGCGGAGCTTTGTGCCCCAGTTCCACCCCTGCCTTCCAGGCCTCACTGCCCCACCCTGTCCTTGCAGAACTGCAGCAGTTCTACGCCAGCCCAAGCCGCCTGCCAGACAGCAGGGTGGTGCTGTGCTTCGGGGAGGAGTTTCCCGACATGGCTCCCCTGCGCTCCAAACTCATCCTCGTGCAGGTAAGAACGGCACAGGCAGCTTTGGCCCTCATGTCAGGGTCAAGTTTATACCAGGACCAAGAGGAAGCAGCAAGGACTGGGTTATTCTACCTGTGCACAGGGGGAGAGGCAGGAGGGTGAGACCTACAGAGTGGGAGAGGTGGACTCTCGCCCCCTCTGAACCCTTGGCACGAAAACATGGGTTTTCTTCCTTCCTTCCTTCCTTTCTTCCTTCCTTCCTTCCTTCCCTCTTTCCCTCCCTCTTCCCCCTTCCCTCCCTTCCTTCCTTCCTTCCCCAAAGGGAAGATTGCACCTGTTCCACCTCTTACCTTAAGGTCTAGGTCACAGATTCAGACTTGGCGGAGCTCTCTGGCCATAGGGTTGATGGTGGACTTCTGAGCACTGGGCAGCCCAGCCAGGCTGATCCTGAGAGATATGGGTCGTGTAGTGGGCAGTCTTTGCAGGAACCCTGCTGCCTGGCTCCTTCATGGTGGCAGGTGGAGCCTCTGCAGTGATGGCTCTGGGCCAGTGATCTGAGTGTGGCAGGAGCAAGCAGCAGAATGTCCCGCTGTTTCCCCACCTCCATCTCTGACCCCATGCATGGCCCCTGTAGGTTGAGCAGCTGTACGTCCAGCAGCTGGTGGAGGAGGCAGGGAAGAGCTGTGGTGCAGGCTCCACCATGCAGGTTCCCGAGGAGCCCCAGCCTGACCAGGCCTTCCGGATGTTTCCAGACATCTGTGCCTCACATCAGAGACCCTTTTTCAGAGAAAACCAACAGATCACCGTGTAAGCATCTCTCCTGGGCACCCAGTCACCTGCAGCTCCAGTTTCACCTGGACAATGACTGTTGTAATCATGGAAAGGTGTGGACCCCTCTGACGGGGGTGGGACCCCTTATTTGCTCCTAATTTAGTAAGGACATCCTCTGAGAGCCCACAATGAGTCCAGAGTTGGGCCAGAGTTCTGCTGTTTAGTGCAAACATTGGAAACTTACACAAGCGGTCTTGTAGGCTGTAACCTTCACTTGGGATTAAATTTTTTATTTTCTTTATCACCAGCTGCTATGTTTCTTTCTGCATTTTGTGCTCACTGGCATTTTGAAAGACTTGCCTGTCATTCCCTGTGACTGGCCGACAGCTGCTTTGAGCAAAAGCCTCTGGAGTTCAAAATCAGCTTGTTGAGAATAAGCCTGTTTTTCTGGACTTTATAGATTTATGATTTCATATTGATTCTCTGTGAAGCATCTTTTTTTACTCTTAAGAGTTTTAATAAGATTGCAAAATATTTAGATGAAGCCCCTCTTTCAGAAGAGGAAGCCAAGCTGTGGCTGTAAGGAGAATGCATGTTTTTCCTGGGATTTGGTGCCAGGAAAACATATCCAAGTTAGGTGCACAGGGTCGGGTGGGGTGGTTATTTTCAGAGGATGCAAACGTTTTCATTGGGGAGCCACTGAGTGAGGTTCATTTTTATTTTTATTTCTGTAATTAAATCATCCCCAAGACCTCTCTCTTTTCTTTCTAAATGGTTTTGATCGGCTTTAAAAATATTTGTTCTCGATTGCATTTTTTTTTTTTACATGTCCTATTGTGAATTGCTTTGGGTCCCTATTTTTCCCATAAAGTGAGTGGGGTGTAACCAGGAGCTTCAAGAGCAATCATGGTCGCTCAGGAATTTGACTTGGACTTCAATTCAGCTGGGCTCTCCATCCATCAGATGGCCATGCTTTGAGTTGGGGCATGGTCACGGGGGGGTCGTAGAAGGGACGATAAGAGGTCTTACCCATGCTGTCCCAGGGCATCATGGGTACTGTGGCAGGGGGCTGCTGTTCTCCATCCCTGCCACCTTTGAAGGTTCAGCTGGCTGCACATCACACCCGATTCTCCGCTCCAGCAGCGAGTGGTATAGGAGTCCAGCAGAGAAGTCTGGGTTCCAGCCCTGGAAGAACTCCCCCACTTACCAGCAAATCAGACCTTCTTCCTTCCCAAACAGATAAGAATGTTTGCCTGTGATCCAGTACTGATCAAAACTCAGCTCCACAGACTTAAAGTCTTGATCTGATGGCCAAGGGCTGTTCATGTCCCCTCACTGATGCCCCAGTCTGGGGTCTCAAGTATCTGTGAAGCCACCTTAAAATCGCTTTCAACACACACCATTAGAGGACACTTGACTGTGTTTTCTAGACACCTGCTATGTCTTGGTGGATCAAGGGGCCTCTTAGATGTCTGCGTGTCCTGTGTGATACATCTGGGCTAGCCCTGGGGGGTGCCGGGCATCTTCAGGGCCCACGTCCCACAGGTGTGAGCCAGTGTGGGTGCTTGATCTGGCTGGGTCTTCCACAGTGGGTGCTGACACCAGGCAGCATTGGGCTGTGAGGACAGCCTTTTTCCATCCACTCTCTCCTGGGGGGAGAAGAATCCCTTCCCTGTTCTATCTCCTTATGACCCAGCCTGGCTCCCACCAACATATCCAGGATCTCACAGTGGAAGGCTGGGGTGGAGGAGGGGCTTAGCCATCTGCCCTCGTTTTGAGAAATGGGGGAAGATACCGAGGTTTGGGAGACAGGCCCAGCCAATGTAGTGCCTTTCATGGATTCTGACTGACATCTGAAAGCCAAAGAGCCTTACTGGAACTTCTCACTGCCACTTCTGCGAAGGTGATGTGGGTGGGGCTGGTCACCAGACTTGGTCACCACTGGAGGCCTTTGATTGTGTGTCAGCTGTGAACGTGGGAAAGTGCTAGTAACTCTGGCTTTTCCCCTTGGCCAACGAAGGCAGCATTATATTTTGAAGGACGGGGAACATGTTTGCTCAGTTGTCCAGGCTTGAATGTAAGGCTCAGATCTTTAATATGCTGACTGAATATTTATTTTTGTATCCATTTAAAAAGTACTGATTTCTTTTATTCTTTATTAAAATAAAATGCCCTTTTATAAAGCTGGTATGTTCTCTGTTTTTTTTTTCTTTCTTCTTTTAGTCACTGTCAAATATTTTATACTTTTCATCAGTTTCTGGGATTTTTAAAAGGGGAATTATAAGAAATAGGGACTATGATTTTAAGGATTTTGTTTTGTTTTACAAACGGCTGGTTGTGCAGAATTCCTGGGGAATGTGGAGGGCACACTGTTTTTTTTTTTTGTTTGTTTGTTTCTTCTCTTGGTGGGACTGAGATTTGAACTCAGGGCCTTGCACTGCTAGGCAGGTGCTCTAACACCATGGGAGCCATGCCCAGCCCTTTTTGTTTTAGCTGTTTTTCAAAACAAGGTCTTGGGTTTATGCCCTGGTCTCCCTGGACCTTATCCTCTGATTTATGCTTCCTGTGTAGCTGGATGACAGGTGCATGCTGCCATGCGAGGCTTGCATTGCTTGCCTGGGTTGGCCTGGAACCAGGAGCCTCATGTTCTCACGAGTAGCTAGGATTACAGGCATGAGCCACTGGTGCCTGGCTTACACACTGTGTTTTATTCAATCACAGGTCTGTTGGGGCTTCTGTGAGCTGATGGCTATACCTGAGGACAGGGTGGGGAAAGGATGTAGGAGGGCCCCTGTAGCACTCTTCTTGAATCTGCCAGAAGCTAGCTATAGGAGGGCCACCAGGTTGAGCCAGCTTCTGTGACAGGTGTATCTTTCCATGCATGCATGTGCTCATTGTGCTGGGCTCTAGGGATGCAGCAGAACATGGGGATCCACTGTGGCCACCATGGGTTGCTTCCAGTCTAGTGGGCAGTTCCCACTGATTCACAGGGACACCCCCCCCCACAAGTGGGCACAGAGCCAGCCAGCCCAGGCAGAGGGTGTGTTCTAGCACCTTCTCTCTGCAAGGTGATGTGTACACTCCCTCCCTCCTCTGCCCTCATGTGTGCCCTGGGACACTGAGCCTGTTGGTCCCAGCTTACAGGTGAGGAAACTGAGGCACAGTTCCATGCTTGGCCAGCCTGGGAGCACAAGGAGGGCTTGGGGGATGATCTCACCGCAGTCCTTGACCAGAGGAAAGGACAGCAGCTGGCCAAGCGCTGCTTTTCTGACACATCATTGCAGCGAGTCACGTTAGTTGTTGCAGTCAGGAATTTTGCTTATTAGTCTCTGTCCTGTGAGCTTAGGGCCATGCAGAAACTGGACAGCACCCTGTGCACAGTGCACAGCGTCTTCCTGCAGCCATCTTGGGCAGCGGGAATGGTCTGCTTCCTTTTATACAAGAGGGACTCTGGGGACAGGACACTTTAGTAAGAACGGGGGGTCAGGTGCCAGAGGCTCATGCCTGTCATCCCAGCTTCCCAGCTATGGGGGAGGCTGAGATCAGGAGGATCATGATTCCGTGGCAGCCAGGGGGAGAAGTGTTCATGACACCCCATCTCAATGGAAAAAAGCTGGGTGTGATGGTACACACCTGTCATCCCAGCTAGGGGGGGAAGCATAAAATAGCAGGATGGCAGTCCAGGCTGGCCTGAGCAAAAAGCAAGACCCTATCTCAAAAATAACCAGAGAGAAGAGGGCTGGGGGCCTGGCCCAAATGGCAAACTGCCTGCCTAGCAAGCACAAAGCCCTGAATTCAAATCCCAATATGACCAAAAAAAAAAAAAAAAAAAGAACCAAGGGCTCTGGGGACATTGTCAGGGCCCTTATATGGACTGACTCCTGAGAAGTTGACCTTCCTCTGCCCTGAAGGGAAACTTGTGGGGACAGGCAGGTGAGGCATGCTGAAAAAGAGCCACCTCCAGTCTTGGATTGTAAAAATGTCTTAGGAAATTAAGATGCACCTCCAGTCCCTCCCTCAGTGCTCGTTGTTTAGTGCAAGAACTTTTGTAAAACCCATCTAGGGTGCAACTTCTGGATTCTCTTGTAATGTCTGATGCCTGCAGACGATGGCCTCTGGGAGGAACACCCACAGGATCCTCTGGGCCCTGGGAATCCTGGGAGAATCCTAGGCAAGGGGTTGACCAGAAAGCTATGTGTAGGGGCTGCCTGATTCTTTCTTGGCCCTGACAAGCAGCTGCAGGGAGCCTGAAGGACTGGTCCGGGCCCGTGATTCACGCACTCGAGACAGAGTTTTACAATCTAATCGCTTGGAATTATTTGGAAGTTCTTTGTAAGGAACGATAACTAAATGGCTATGATTTTAACCACCCATTGGGCTGAGAATGGGAAAGGGTGGTTTCTCAGTAGAAAATCTGGCTGCTTTTACTAAAATTAGGTAGAAAACAGCAAATTTCTCAACTCACGGGACACACACAATCTCATTATTTCTCTCGGACATGTCACTGTTCAGAGGCATAACACTCAAGGGTCACTCTCGTGCTAAGGAATGGATTTCATGTGTGGTTTCCCAAGCTGGTCTGGTCTGGTGCTGTCCCTTGCATTGTATCTCACAGGGTGAGTGGTCCCGTGCCATGGCTCTGGTCTTCTATGTCTTGGTGACAGAGTCGGTCTTCCTCAGAATCTACCTTGATTGTTTTAGGGGTTGAGAGCCATATTTGCACCATTCCTTTCCTGTACTCCCTGGGTTGCCTTTCAGTCTGGGTGGAATCTTCCAGGGCTGAGGTAGCTTTGGTCACTGATTTTTGTATAAATGCCCCCAAACACAGTGGTACAAAAGACACCTTTTGCAGGTCAGAATTTAGACAAGGTTCAGTGGCATTGGCTTTTCTCTGCATATAATATTTGTGATCTTATCTGGAAAGATATGCGTAGCTGAAGTGACTTGGTCCTAAGGTGGAGCTACCTTTTTGCTCACATTTCTGGTATCTGGGCCTGGAGGACATGATGGCTGGAATTCAGCCTGGACCTGGACCTCCTCACAATGTGGTGACCTCAGGACAGTCCCTGGGTCATCCTCTCCTTCGTTACCCATCCCACTTGCCTTTGTGAAAGTTTTTATTTATTTATTTAATGATACCAGGTTTGAACTCAGGGCCTTAGGCTTGGTAGGAAGGTGCTGTACCTTGTCATGCCCCCAGTCCTTTTTGATTTTTTTTTGTTAGCTATTTTTCAGGTAGGGTCTCACTTTTTGCAAACAGTTGTCCTAAACCATGATCCTTGTACCTATGCCTCCTGTGTGGCTGGGATGGCAGGTGTGCACCACGATGCCTGGCTTATTTGTTGAGATGGAATCTTCCTTTTTCGCCTGGGCTCATCTTGAACCACCGTCCTCCTGATCTTGGCCTCCCAAGTAGCCTTGAAGATGGGTGTGAGCCACCACGCCCAGCCTTATTTGTATTTACAATTTTTATTAAATCTTCCCGGTATTCTGGCTCCTTCCTGCCCCTCATCCTTGAATGCAGGGCGGATGGAACTTTCTGTCTCTGTCTCAGGAGACCTGCCTCCATCAGAAAGGAGTCCTCATCACTTCTCAGAGTGGCCCCGATGTGTACCGGACAGAGAGCTTTCCCTAGGGTCTCACTCCCATGGCTCTGACCAGAGTCC